CCAGAGTTCAGGCCCTATGACCAGACCCCCCCCCAAAAAAAAAAGAAAAAAAAAGAAATCTGCCATGTAAATCATAAAAGCATTTTTGACTAAACTGGGGTAGGCAGATCTATAGCACAACTTTAGTTTTTTTCAAGAAATGATAGCTTTTGATGAATAATGTTATACTTAAATTCTTTTATCTAATGATTTAATTACAATAACAAATTATTGTCATATTTTGACATTAAAATACATTAATTTCCCAAAAAGTATCACTGTTAAGCACTAATAGTAAAATTTATTAAAAGAAATAACTATATTACATAATAAGAAATATCAGTGATGTGTCCCTTATTTTCTATGCAAAGCCAACAATAGAGAATTTCTAAAAAAAAAAAAAAGAGAGAGAGATAAGTTGCCACCTTTTCATGCAAATAATTGTTTTACTTTTAGAAAACTTGATTTAACATACATTTTCAATCTCAAGATCATAAATTTCTTATTGGGTTTCAAAATCTGAATAACCTATCACACCTTCCTATCTCTCACTCATAGGTATCAACTTTTACAGCTAAACTCAGTGGCTCTACATATACTCACACCATCTATATACTTTTACCCCTAACAAACATAATCTAGATTCAGAAATTCTCCTACAAACTTTATCTCATAATAACCAAATAAAAGATGGACCTGATAAAACAGACAACCAGAATTTCAATTTAATTTTTCTTCACTATTGGTACAGGCAGTGATGTCTTCCTTTATGCTTTGAATAGGACAGTATAACAAACATGTTTATGCTGCTACAATTTACATGGATATTTGAGCTCACAGAATTTTTGTTTGTTTGGTAATGTAGTTGGAACTGAGGGCCTTTTATTTGCTAGGTAATAGTAATTCACCATTTGAGCCATACTCCTCGCCTGCTTTCTTTCTTTTTTTTTGGTCCAGTCATGGGGCCTGAACTCTAGGCCTGGGCGCTGTCCCTCAGCTCTTCAGCTCAACACTAGTGCTCTACCACTTGAGCCACAGTGCCACTTCCAGCTTTTTTTTTTCTGCTTATGTGGTGCTGAGGAATCGAACCCAGGGCCTCATGCATGCAAGACAAGTGCTCTACCACTGAGCCACCTTCCCAGCCCCCTGCTTTAATTATTTCTTGGATAAGGTTTCATGCTTTTGCCCAGGCTGGCCTGGACTGTGATCTTCCTATTTATGACTTCTAATAGCTGAGAGGAAAAAATAACTTGTTCAGTTTGTTTGTAAAGATGGGGTCTTAGTAGGTAATGACTTCCTTGTCTCAAATCATAATTATTCCCATCTATGCCTTCTAAGTAGCTGAGATGACCGGCATGTATCACCGTAGTTGGCCATATACAGAACTTTTAATCAGAAACTATTAATTCTGATCTGTTTTGTAGATTGACAGTAGAGCCTGCCTAGAAGAGTTAATCTTTTGGAACTACTTCATTCTCAGTCTCATGATTATGCACTACCAACACTGTTTCTTCCTACTACTGTAGAGTATAGTTGGATGTTAACTATTAATTCTGATCTGTTTTGTAGATTGACAGTAGAGGCTGCCTAGAAGAGTTAACCTTTTGGAACTGCTTCATTCTCAGTCTCATGATTATGTACAACCAACACTTCTTCCTACTACTGTTGAGTAGAGTTGGATGTTAACTAATGTAATGTATTCTATTTTACAGAGAGGAAATGACAGTACAGAAAGGTAACTGATTTTCTGAGACCATATAATGGGCAACTGTCAAATCTTTTAATACTTTGCTCCTGTTATAACTTGGCAGTAAAACAACCAAGGAAGGTGTCATAAAACAAGCAAACAACAAAGCTGAAAGGAAATGGAATACAAAACTTAATGGTATCTTTTCAATTTGAATCTTTCTAAGCACAAATACCTTTGTGACTACAAAAAATACTTTAGAAACAAAAGTATACAATAATATTACACAATTTAAGTCACAAAGTAAAATTCTTAATATTTTAATGTTTCTGCATAGTAATTAAGGAGCCTAAATAAACAAACCACCTTCTTACACTACAAAAGTCAGAGATGACTTTAAGAAACTATTCTAGTCAATCTTTTGCTAAGGAAGCTCAGCTTTTTTTTAATCATTTGGTCACTGGGGACAAAGGTTAGAACAAAGTGAAATGCAATCATATGATAAACTTTTTTCGAATGGCGAAGAAGGAACAGAATAAATTTCATTAGTAAACCTGTGTTACAAATGCAAAAGGTAAGATCTGATATATTTACAGGTCGTCTTGTCGTCAAATTTAAAAAGATATTTAAGTTAATTAAGTGTACAAAAATATTTGTCTTTAAAAGTGATTAAAAAAAGGAGAAAATGTGATTCTATTTTTCATAGAAATCTCAGAAACAATATATATGTGGGAAATTTCCAGAGGATATTTTCCAGAGTTAAAATGGAACACAAAATAACTTCTTTTCTTTGGAACAGAATGTTTCACCTAGCCCACAAAATGTGTAAGAACTTTTTATTTTGAAATACACATATGCTCCAAACATACTGAATTCTGGCATAATTATCTAAAATGTTGAAGGGGAAAAACTAGATATAGAATGTACTTAACAAAATTTTACATATATATATATAATATATTCACAGTATTCACAGTATTTAACATTGTTTTTGTGTGTAAAGCTTTTTTGTCCTATAATATACATCATAGGTTATGTAAAAAGGATCTGATTTTATAAAATGATTATAAAGAAACTGATATTCAATTTGTTCTCTATTTTTATTTGTTTCTAAGTAACCACAAATTAAAACTCAAATATCATTTCAATATAAATTTCAAATTGTGGGAAAAAGAAAAGAGAAAAAAAACCTGATTTCCTTTTAAAATCAATTTTTTCCAGTTGAAGGAAATGTCAATTTCTTCATCATTTACTACTTGCTACTCTTGTCAATGATTTCTATAAGATGGCCAATAATGCTAACAGGTGCTTTTGCCTAGAGATTTACTCAATGTTGTAATGGCCAACATTCATTCCTTCTCTCAATCATTTTTCTATTAAAAGACACACAAATATGTGAAAAAATGTGAATAGTGGGGACCAAAGAGTATATCTCAGAGGTTTAGAGATAGTAATGCTTTACAATTATTCAATGATTTCTTTAACAGACCATTGAGTTCATATGTGCTCCTTTTAACTCTAAGATTTATCAAACAGAAGGCAAAAAATATTCTTTTCTAATTCTTATTTTATTTCTTTTAGTACATTGCAAAAAACAAATATAATAGATAATAAATATAAGATTATCTTCTGTCTCCATTTCTACGTAGGCTAACAGCCATTATCTTGCCTTTATTTCTTTCCTCATCTGCTTCTAGTTAATCTTCATTTAAATCCGACTATTTTTCATATTTCTTTTAGCCATCCTATCCTATATATGTCTGAAAAAGTACTCCCTATTTACCAATGCTCACTCACTTGTGTATCCCACCACAGATGTAAGAACGTCACCACATGCTGAGAAACATTAAAATAAGTCACTGAACAAGTTGTTCAACCATTTCCAAAGGTCATTAAACACAGGTAAACAACCTGGGTTGTAAAGAACTCAGAACATTGTAAAGAACTTAAGCATTCCCTTTTCTGGACAATGGTCTAGAATAAATGACAGCCTGACCTCAGGTCTGGCTCTATACCAGATTCTAAATGTTCTATATTCAAAAGCTGCACAAAATCCAGGAAGCAGAGCAGCTTTCTCTCACAAATGTGGTTTAACTATGGAAAGAGAAAGTAAAAGTATAATAAGGCTAAACAGATCAACATATGAATACCATGAGGAAATACAATAGAATAATACTGAAATAATAATTCTAGCTACTAAGGAGGCAGTAGACTTCTGTAATTTGAAAACAATCTTCACTGATTAGTTTTTCTGGTTCCTGTTCAGTTGGAATAAACTTTCTTTAGAAAATACTTATTAATTATAATAAATGCTATAATGTGGTTCTAAAGATGACAGGCTATTCCTTTTGTAGAGACTTGTTTATGGATAGTCTCTGATGTTGATATTGAGAAAACAGAGGTAGAAAGAGAATGATAAGGCTTTGAATGTGGCTTAGTGGTAGAGTGCTTGCCTTGTATGCATGAAACCCCGGGTTCAATTCCTCAGTACCACATACACAGAAAAAGCTGGAAGTGGTACTGTGGCTCAAGTGGTAGAGTGCTAGCCTTTAGCAAAAGAAGCTCGGGGACAGTGCCCAGGCCCTGAGTTCAAGTCCCAAGACTGGAAAAAAAAAAAGAAAGAGAATGATAAAACATCAAAGTTATGAATAAAATCATTAAATCAAATCTAACTATTCACAAAGAGGAGTGTGCTCCAATAAATGGCAATATCTTTTTTAAAAGGCATTTTTAATGTACCTATTAACTATGACTTTGGCTCAAACCCTGAGAACTAAATGAGAACAAAAGATAAAAAGGAGTATAAACTTACAAGGGCTCAGGGGTTAGCAGCAATGAAACTTAGAAACTATAAAATTGATATATGAATGGAAACTAACCAGAAAAGCAATATTTTCCGAAGTCAGCAGCTGAAAAACCTAAGAGCCAACTGATTTACATTTCAGAGACTCTTGAATGGTCCAAAAATTGGCCTTACCAAATACTGTGGAAGTAGAGGAAGAAAAAAAGGTGATAATTCTTTCCTGGTTCTGCCTAGTCGGATTATGTTCCTCCCCTATGTGAGATTAGTGCAATTTTTTTCTGCACTAAATATTAAATATAAACACATTTTTTGACCACTCAGTTTATAATGAAGACTATTGGCCTTGTCTATCCAGGTAGTAGAAAAGCCATTTTATGGAATTTAACCAACCCAAGAGAAAAGTTTCACATATAATGACATTTAAGAATAAACCCACCAAAACAGTCTAGCAAGTTCACTCTACAGTAAGGTCAAGTAAAGAAGACCTAAACAAAGTTTCCAGTGAAGCTTTTAGTTTTCTGCTCTTCTGCATAAGCCCAAAACCAAGTATAAGTAGAAATGTAAAGAAAGCCTCCAACAAACCTGAGAACACAAAGGCTAGTCAAGGGAGGAAAAGGACAACAAAAACTACATATAAAAAATAATATCGGGGGCTGGGAAGGTGGCTCAGTGGTAGAGTGCTTGCCTTGCATTCATGAGGCCCTGGGTTCGATTCTTCAGCACCACATAAGCAAAAAGAAAAAAGCCAGAAGTGGTGCTGTGGCTCAAGTGGTAGAGTGCTAGCCTTGAGCTGAAGAGCTGAGGGACAGCGCCCAGGCCCAGAGTTCAGGCTCCACGACTGGACCCAACAAAACAAAAAAACAAAAAAATAATATCAGCCAGGTGCCCATGGTTCATGCCTGTAATCCTAGCTACTCAGTGGCTGAGATCTGAGGATCATGGGTCAAAGCCAGCCTGGGCAGGAAAATATGTGAGCTCTTATCTCCAATTAACCACCAGAAAACCAGAAGTGGTGCTGTGGCTCAAGTGGTAGAGTGCTCACCTTGAGCTGAAGAGCTCAGGGGCAGTGCCCAGGATCAGAGTTAAAGACCCATGACTGACAAAAAAATAAATTAAATAAACAATATCATGCAATAGCTATTATAGTAGATTATAATAGTGTAATAGATAATAGAAAACTCAAGTAGTAACTTACTACAGAAAAAAACACTAAGTGAGCAAAAAAAAGGTCTTAGAATTAAAAATGGAAAGAAATAGAAAACTTGAATAGGAGAGTTTGAAGACAAAGATGAGGATATGTCCAGAAAGCAGAGAAAAACATAGTAGGGGGCGGGGGGAAACCCTGAAAACTAAGCACATAAAAAACCAGGCCACAGTTGGGCACTGTGGCTCCTAGCTAGCTACACAGGAGGCTGAGATCAGGGGATTGTGTTTTGGGTAAGTCTATGAGACTCTTTATCTCCAAGAAACTACAAATAAGCCAGAAATGAAGCTGTGCTCAAAGGTAAAGCACAAAAGCTTCAGGACAGTTACCCAGACCCTGAGATCAAGTCTCAGGACTGGCACACACACACAAAGCAAAAATAAAAACAGGCCTATTAATTTAGAGGGAAAAATACCAAAATACTGCATACTGCTACATGGTTCAATAACCAATAGCTTTGATAACCAAACAGTAAGTGAACTGTTAGGAAGTGAGTGTTTTAGATGCTATTAGAAATTAAGGTAGAAAGCGTTTGAAAGATAGCTGAAGATTTGTAGATTTTCGTCTTCCACAAGTATATGCTAATGAATGTCAACAGCCAAAAGCTAAAACTAAAAATATAAACATATACTTACACACACACACACGCTCATACACACACACACACACACACACACACACACACACATCCGGGCACAGGTGGCTCATGCCTGTAATCCTAGCTACTCAGAAGGCTGAGATCTAATGAGGCTCATGGTTCAAAAAGCCAGCCCGGGCAGAAAAGTCTGTGACACTCTGATCTCCAATAAAAACCACTAGAAAACCAGAAGTGGTGCTGTGGCTCAAGAGGTAGAGCACTCACCTTGAGCTGAAGAGCGCAGGGACAGTGCCCAGGTCCAGAGTTTAAGCCCCAGGACCACCACCAACAACAACAACAACAAAAAAAAAATATATATAGGTTTTCATGGATGGTGTGTGTGTGTGCGTGTGTTTAAAAAGTATATCCAAGGCTGGGAAGGAGCGCTTGCCTTGCATGCTTAAGGCCCTGCGTTCAATTCCCCAGCACCACATAAAAGCAAAAAGAAAAAAGCTGAAGTGGCACTGTGGCTCAAGTGGTAGAGTGCTAGCCTTGAGCTGAAGAGCTGAGGGACAGCGACCAGGCCCAGAGTTCAGGCCCACAACTGGACCCCCCCCCAAAAAAAAGTATATCCACTTCAATTGCTTTAGTGTGTGCCCTTTATTTGACCTAGAGCTAATGAGATCCCCTAATAGGGGTGTGGAACCTCCTGTCTCATCATTTGGTCCATGATAGAACAGAAATGTATGCTATCATCCTATTGCTCTGGGCTATGTGCCAGTTTGATGATTTATATGGGCCATGGACAAGGTTCTAATTATCCAAATGGTCCTTAGCAGAAAAAAAGGTTCCCTTGCATGTCTCATTTTTCCACCTGGGCTTTCTAGTTTAAGATCAGATTGCAGGAGCTGGGAAAGGTGGCTCAGTGGTAGAGTGCTTGCCTTGCATGCATGAGGCCCTGGGTTCGGTTCCTCAGCACCACATAAGCAGAAAAAGCCAGAAGTATGCTGCAGCTCAAGTGGTAGAGAGCTAGCCTTGAGCTGAAGAGCTGAGGGACAGCGCTCAGGCCCAGAGTTCAGGCTCCATGACCAACAACAACAACAAAAAGATCAGATTGCAGATGGTGAAAGACAACATGCTTATTTCACATTTAATTTATTCTTAGAAAAAATAGATTTGAAAGGGGAAAAGGAAATTAGAATGTCTTCAATAGCTTTTAAGGTTCAAGCTGCCTATTTAGATGAAAATATTCTCTTTTCTTTCAGGCCTGCATTATGAAAATCAGATACATGATGATCTTGTTTTGGCCCATCTCTGTACTATTATCTGACAAAAGCCAGACTTCTAAAACAGTAAGTTTTTATAAGTAGTAAGAACTTTTTGTATTTGGTAAAAACGTTTTCAAAAGCAAATATAGCAAAATATCTAAAGGCAAATAGCTGAAAAACAAAACAAAACAAAAAACAGAAACCCTAAGAAACTGAGCTATATATTATATATATAAAATCCCTCCCTCCTTAGTGGAAATTGAACCTATGGCCCCACAAGGATCCACCACTTAAACCATACATCCCTGTCTTTTTGGCTTTCAATATTTTGGATAGTGTTTTTCACTAATTTTGTCTCAGGTGGCCTCAAATCCATCCTCCTACCTAAGTCTGCTGAATAGCTGGTAACATCGGTATGTGACCCCGTGTTGGCTTGCTTTCTGAAATAGGGTCTGGCTAATTTTTTCATCCGCTGGCGAGGAACCAATCTGGTTTCTTCCTCTAGAGTAGCAGGGATTTACAGAGTCATAAAGCCCACCCATGTAAATTTAGTTTTTACTTACCTGAGTATATTCAAATTTGTACTCTTTGAACCAAATACAAATTTTACTGAGTTCTTTAAATTCTGTTATCCCAACTTCTGGGAAGATATAAGTAAGAGAATTTTGGTCTAGAGGGCCATGTGGGATAAATCTGAACAATCAAAAAAACCCAAAAAGGCTAAAGGTGTGGTTCAAGCAGTAGTGCTGGCCTAGCAAGCCTAAGGACCTGAGTTCTAACTCCAATAGTTCTTAACAAGAACAACAAAAGAGACCTGATTGAAGAAATGTGTGAGTTTTCAGTAGAAGTTCAGAGATTAGTTCCAAGACATAAGAACAATATTTAAAGAACAAGACATAAGAACATTTAAAATACAGGAAATGCACTTCTGTAATACAGAACTTAAAAGACTGGGAAGGTGGCTCAGTGGTAGAGTGCTTGCCTTGCATGCATGAAGCCCTGAGTTCGATTCCTCAGCACCACATAAGCAGAAAAAGCCGGAAGTTGCACTGTAGCTCAAGTGGTAGAGCTCTAGCCTCAAGCAGAAGAGCTGAGGGACAGCGCCCAGGCCCAGAGTTCAGGCCCCATAACTGACAAAAAAAAATAAAAGACGGAGGCAGAGAAGCACCTGTTTTAGACCAGTCTGAAGTACATGGTAAGACCCTGTTTCAAAATAACAACAAAACAACAATAATAAGAGTTGCTATTAGGATTGAAACTTTTTAGAAATTCATTTATTTAGGAGAGAAATTGTTTGGGTACATAACTATTCTTTTTATTATTTCAACTGCAGAGATAGCCATGACAAGAATGATTTCTTTGAATTCATATCTACATCAACAAAGCACGTCACTTTGTGTGGTACATTACACTGAATCATGGCTCAATTTCTGATATCAGTAAATATTTCCTTTAAAAACACCAAACATCCCAAATTACTTGAATGAAGTTAAGAATTCAATGTATATCCTACAAAATTAAGAAAAGTGAGGGAAGGGATGGGCTGGGAGAGATGGGTGAGAATACTGAAAGGGATGGCATTGGTCAAGATGCAGTGTATTCATAAACTGCCTTGTTGAATGACAACTCCTTTGTACGATTATTTGAATATTTTTTAAAAAGCCAGACCCTGTGGCTCATGCCTATAATTCTAGCTGCTTAGGAGGCTGAAATCTGAGGATAGCTATTTGAAGCCAGCTCAGGAAAGTCATAGTAAAGACTGTGAGATTCGAATCTCAAATTAACAGCCGAAAAAAGCCAGAAGTTGAACTGTGGCTCAAATGGTAAAACTCTAGCATTGAGCAAACCAGCTCAGTAACAGCACAGAAAAAAAAGAAAAGAAAAAAACCCATTACCCTTCTGGATTACTAATATTAATACAACAGAGTTTTTTTTTGTTTTTTTGGGGTTTTTTTGTTTTTTTTGGTCCGGTTGTGGGGCCTGAACTCTGGGCCTGGGCGCTGTCCCTCAGCTCTTCAGCTCAAGGCTAGCGCTCTACCACTTGAGCCACAGCGCCACTTCTGGCTTTTTTCTTTTTGCTTATGTGGTGCTGAGGAATCGAACCCAGGGCCTCTGGCTTGCAAGGCAAGCGCTCTACCACTGAGCCACCTTCCCAGCCCCTACAACAGAGTTTTTATAAGGTGTTATTTTTAAATTATTTAATAGGCCTAGGTATTATGTTAGTTCTCAACCACCTTATTATTTTAAATTAATTTTTTCCATAAATGTTGGCATTTTACATTTTTTTTTGAGATAGGTCTCAATTCTGAAGCCCAGGCTGATCTTGAACTTGGAAACTTCTCTCACTGCCTCCTGAATATTGAGATGACTACATTCACAAAATTATTATTTATTTCATAGTTCTGTATGTAAATAAGAAACACTGGGGCTGGGAAGGTGGCTCACTGGTAGAGTGCTTGCTTTGCATTGCATGAGGCCCTGGGTCTGATTCCTCAGCACCACATAAACAGAAAAAGCTGGAAATAGTGCTATGGCTCAAGTGGTAGAGCACTAGCCTTGAGCTGAAGAGCTGAGTGACAGCACCCAGACCCAGAGTTCAGGCTCTACCAACAACAAAAAATGAAATAAAATTAAATTAAATAAGAAACATCAATAGTATTTTGCTAATTATTACATAATAGCTATTGGAGGACATGTATATAATACAGTGAAGTCTCTGTGCTTAATAGTATCAGAATTTCACCCCAATGGAAAGAAAATCTGTGCACTACCCTTTTCACACTGTAATACTAAAAGATGAGATTTTTTTTCCCAAATGATTTCTAATACCTATGTGCTTAGATAAAAATTTGAGAAATTCTGTTAATATTTTTCCTGATCACTGCATTTCTAATTTTTTTCTTTTTTAGGAAGTCAAGTATAACTTCACTGAAAAGAATTACACTTTGATTCCAGCAGATATCAGTAATAATGTTAGTATACTTGACCTCAGTTATAACCAAATTACTCTGAACTTAACAGACATCAAAGTGCTAGAGATGTACTTTTTACTTATTGAGCTCTACTTGAATCAGAACAGTATCAGTATCTTACATAATAATAGTTTTATTAATCTGTCCAGCCTACAAATCTTACATATCTGTAGAAATTCCATCAATGTAATTCAAAAGGATGCATTTATGGGCTTAAGTAAGCTAAAAGAGTTATATCTGTGCCAAAACAAAATATTACAACTGAACCCAGAAGTGTTTGTGCCTTTAAGCAACCTGAAAGTTCTCAATCTGCAAGACAATCTGATGAACTACTTTGATAGACCACAACTATTTCATCTGGAATTAATAATTTTGTACAGAAATCCATGGAACTGCACTTGTAGACTATTCAATTTACAGAACTGGTTGAACACATCAAATGTAATACTAGGTAAGCTACCACATTTTAAGTTCATTAAAACCAAAATGTGATTTGTTTTTGGTGTTTTACTCCATGAAAATCTCTCATGTCATGTTCTTTATTTTATTTTTGCTAGGCCTGGGTGCTGTCCCTGAGCTTCTTTTTGCTCAAGGGTAGCACTATACCACTTGAGTCACAATACCACTTCTGGCACAAGGCTATAATCCTAGCTACTGAGAAAACTGAAGCCTAAGGAACTTTGTTTAAAGCCAGCCCAGGCAAGAGAGCTCATGAGACTCTTATCTCTTATTAACCAATCAAAAGCTGGAAGTACAGCTGAAACTGTAGCTGGATGAGTGGTAGAGCACCAGCCTTGAGCACAAAAGCTAAGGGGCAATGTCCAGCCTTGAGTTCAAGCTCCAATACTGGCACACACACACACACACACACACACACACACACATAAAAAGCTGGGCGCCAGTGGCTCATACCTATAATCTTAGTTACTCAGGAGGCTGATATCTGAGGACTGTGGTTCAAAGCCAGCATGGGCAGAAAAGTCTATGAGACTCACCTCCAATAAACCACCAGAAAACGGAGGCAGCACTGTGGCTAAGCGGTAGAGTGCTAGCCTTGAGCTGAAGAGCTGAGGGACAGCACCCAAGCCCAGAGTTCAAGCCCCACGACCGACACAAAGAAACAAAACCCTTCACAACCATTAGGAAATTATTTTGGTTACACAGAAACATGAAAAGGAAAAAAAAACATTAAAAAATAATACCAAACAGATGTTCTTCTTTCCCCATCCCAGAATAAAAGAAATTTCAATGTCATTTCAGGTATTGAGGCTATAGTCAAAAAAGACTTCTTTTCTTATAACTACTTCCTGTATATTTTCAGGGTATCTTGTCAGAGTAGGTGACAAGTGCCTTATTTTGTTAATGACAGATCATATTCTGCTTCAGATTCACTTACTTGAAGTCTTAATAATAAAACCTTTACTAACACAACGGTAATAGATACTGCATTTCAGCTGTATTTATAAAATAATTTAGCAAGAATGTGCATCTTCCTTCATTCTGTTGCCATGCAAACACATCAAGGGTTTCTCATTATTAATGACCTTAGACAGAGCAAACCTTCTAAATAAAGCTATTGTAAAACATTCTAATTCTCTATAAATATTAACTTATTCCTCTTGTTTACTAGACTATGAGAACCTCACTATGTGTACCTATCCAGACAACCTGAAGAGTTACAACATCAAAACAGTGCCATTTACACCTGAATGCCACTCAAAACTGATTTCAGCTACAAGTGAAGATCTTTACATTCATTTTCAGTCCTTTAACAATTCAACTTTTAATAGTTATTTAAACAATGCAACAAGAAATCCAGGTAATGTATTGGCTTTGAATGTTAATATTGCTAGAGGTATCATACTACATAAACCTGACTGTCTATTTCCCCTTTGTGAATATCTATAAACAAGTAAGAACAATTCCTAGCCAGGTGCTGATGGCTCATGCCTAGAATCCTAGGTAATCAGAAGACTGCGATCTGAGCTCACTTTGAAGTCAGCCTGGGCAGGAAAGTCCATGAAACCCTTATCTCCAATTATTCACCAAAAAGTCAGAAGTAAAGCTGTTGCTCAAGTGGTAGAACATTAGCCTTCAGCAAAACAGTGCATGGACAGTGCCCAGGCCCTGTGTTCAAGTCTAGCCCAAGGACCTACATATAGACACACACACATACACACACACACACACACACACACACACACACACGTATGCATACACACAAAGATGGGTCTTGCTAACTTTAAAGGCAGTACCACCATACCGGGCCAAGACATAATTCTTGCGTGTGTGTGTGTGCGGGCGCGCACTCGCGCACATGCACAAACCAGTACTGAGGCTTGAACTCAGGGCCTGGTACTGTCCTTTAGCCTTAGCTTTTTTTGTTGTTGTTGTTGTTTGTGGGGGCTGAACTCTGGGCCTGGACACTGTCCCTCAGCTCTTCAGCTCAAGGCTAGCACCCTACCACTTGAGCCACAGTACCACTTCCAGCTTTCTTCTGCTTGTATGGTGCTGAGGAACCGAACCCAGGGCCTCATGCATGTGAGGTAAGCACTCTACCACTGAGCCAACTTCCCAGCCCTAGCCTTAGCTTTTTTATGCTCAAGTCTGGCACTCTACCATTTGAGAAAAAGGTATTCTTTTATCACACTATCAAATATGTTTTATATAGTGTGTTAGTCACATCTGTCTAAGTAAAGCTATAGTTTATGTTCTAATATCAGCACTGGACAGTTAACAGGACTGGGAATTGTGATTGTTCTACTTCTGTGAATTTAACAGAATCTCTCTCTTCCACTTAAGAACATGAACCGCTTGGAAAAAGCTGGGCTTTCCTTGTTGGTGTCGTTGTCACTGTCCTGGTGACTTCCCTCCTCATCTTACTTGCTGTCAAATGCCCAGTCTGGTACAAGTTTCTGCTTAGTTACAATCATCATCGCCTAGAAGAGCATGAAGTGGAAACCTGTGAAGACGGCTTTAGTGCAAATACAAATTCTCCTTCACAGATACCACATATAAACTCTGATGACACCATAGTAATATTTGAACAATTACATTCATTTGCCATAGATGATGATGGGTTTATTGAAGACAAATACATAGATACCCATGAACTATGTGAACAAAAATAATGTCTTTCATTGTTTGAAGTTTGAAAAGTACTATCAGTCTGCTCATAGTTTAGACATGGAGATTTTTAATGTAACAAAACTACAGCTAGTAGACCTTCACCTCAGTTAGTACTATATATAAATATATTAAAATTATGTTTAAGCTGATATACCATATAGTCTGTGAAACAGAATTGGCTCATGTTTATAATACATATTCACTTATGTTTCTAAAGCCAGTTTGTCTCTATTTTTTATTGTTAATTTATTTTATAGTAGAGAATGACTGTTAGCAAAGCAGAATTACTCTTAAGGGGTGAAGTGGGCAGTTCCCTTAAGACAAGCTGTGCTAGCTTGGAAGATGTTGGGGCCTGGAGGTTTATCCAATTAGGTATGGTTGCTAGGTGGTCCTCCTCAAATGGATAGGCACTGTGCAGAGGCTGCCTGAGTGTGTACACAAGAATATTTGGTGATCTTTGCTCTTCTTATTTGATGTTCTCTGCCCTTCCAGGTTTAACCTTGATATAGAGTGAGCTCCACCAGGATAGGAGAACATTATCTTGATGGCAGTAACCACTGGAGTTTTAGAATTGTGTATGGCAGCCTGAGGCATTCCCTCTCTCCCTGGTTACAATTTCTCTGTGTAGCTCTGGCTAGCTTCAAATTCATGGTATAGTTCAGGTTGACCTTGAACTCCAGAACCTTTCTTTCTCCAAAGTGCTGGGATTACAGACATAGTTCACAACATCCAGTTTTAATTTTGAAAATAAGCTAATTATCAGAACATTTATGAACACAGTCTAAACTAGTTGGCATTTACTATTTTTAGGCAGGTTATATACAAAACATACATTATTTACAGATATGAAACAGATTACTAATATAACTATTAATGCAAATAAGGTAATGTAAATAGCCTGCTAATAATGTGTCTTTCATGGACTAAATGGAACTAAAATATTATACCTCAAATTAGTTTGAGTTAAAATCATAAATGGTATATCTGAAGACATCTTTATTTATCTTAGATTATTAAGTTGCTGGAACAGAACATATGTATATAATTTGGTCATTTTATCTGTATACAATTTAGCCATTTAGAGATAATTAAGAAAACATACATTAACAATAAAATTTCCATTGTAAACATCTATTTTAAATTTTAAAAGGCAATAGGAGAAAAAGTTAAAAAATTTTACAAAGAAATAAATGGCTCAGAGGGGAAGACAAATAAAGAAGGGAAGGGGGAAATGTAGTCAAGAATTCATTATAGTAACTATAACCCCTCTGTACAGTATCTTTACAATAAAAATATATATTAAGAAAAAAAAGAATTCATTGTATATACCACAAAACTAAGAAAAGTAAAGAAAGGGGTGGGTTAAAGGGGGGTGAGAATGTTGAAGGGGGTGACACTGATCAAAAGGCATTGTATTCATAAACTGCTTTTATATGGTACCTCTCCTTTGTACAACTGCTTAAAAATAAATTCTAAAAATAAATAAAAATAAAAGAAATTACTCATGTTTACCTACTGAAGTTTAAGAATCTGACTTAAAAAGGTTGAACTTACGCTTGTCTTTCAGTAAAGATGATATCCATACTTTGTGTTTCTCGATCATTTTGAGCTTTAAGCTGAGTAAACAGTTAAGAAATTAGTGATTTTAAAATGTAATCATAGAATCAAACTTTTTCTGTAGAGGTTATCCTGATTATGAACTAAAGGAGAATAAGAAAAAAATACAGTATCTGTTTCATTAACAAGTAGTCTTTTCCAAGCATAAGCTCAAACCAAAAATATTCATTGTTCTTTAGTATTCTTCCCAATGATCCAATGTAAATTAAGATTACTTAAGTAGCATTTCAAGAATGCAAGTGCTCAAAAAAATTGAGCGGGGGTACCAGTGGCTCACACCTGTAATCTTATCTTCTCAGGAGGATGAGATCTGAGAATCATAGTTCAAAGCCAGCCTGGGCAAGAAACTCCAAACTAACCACCAAAAAGCCAGAGTGGAGCAGTGTATCAAGTGGTAGAGCACTAGCCTTGAGAATGAAAAAGCTTAGAGAAGGCACCCAAGACCTGAGTTCAAACCCCTGAACGAGAAAAAAAAAAAAGAAAGGAAAAAAAAGACTATAATATGCTGAATTCAAAACCATCAGTTTTATTCTTAAACCTATTCAATTCTATCCATGTATATCCAAATTAAAATTTGAACTTACCTTGAATAACAGAATACTTTAAAAGGTCTTATATTTTATTTCTGGCATTAAAATACAAGTTATAAGTTGTGAAGTTACTAATAATAATGTAATAAATTATTTGGGTTATAGAGCTCTAAATTTAAGTCAATTTATAAATTCTATCTTTTTCACAGAAAGGTAAATAAATTATAAGCTGCATAGTTATATGTCGTATGTTCTCACCTACATGTTTATAACCAAAGTAAGTGAATATTAACATGTTCTACTGTTTTCTACCAAATAATTAATCTAAGAACATTGAATACAAATTCTCATTAATCAGTCAAAAGTCAGTATTGTATCTGGTAGCATATGCATTCATATTTGTCTTTGTCATAAACCTATGAAAATGTATTGTTTATGCCCACTGAGCATTTGTGCATCACCTCCATTTGTGCAAAAATCAAACCAGAAATACTGATAACTAATGTATATGCAAGTAAATGTAGATGGCTATATCTAAGTCCAACACCAGTTTAAATGGACAGATCTAAAGCATCCACCTTGGAGATCAAGAGGAAGAAAAAGAGCAACTAAGGTTGCTCAACAATAACAGCAAAAATTTAGAATCAGTGATTCCTATCTGTAAGGTTCACAAGACTTTTACTGAACTCTTTCCAAGCTGGGTCCTAGTGGCTCTTGCTTGTAATCCATGCTACTCAAAAGGCTGAGATCTGAGAATAACAATTCAATGCCAGCCCAGTCAGAGACCATGAGAATTATAACCCCTTTGTAAAATCACTTAAAAGAATAAAAATATGGGGCTGGGAATGTGGCTTAATGGTAGAGTGCTTGCCTACCATGCATGAAGCCCCAGGTTTGATTCCTTAGTACCACATAAACAGAAAAAGCCAGAAGTAGTGCTGTGGCTCAAGTGATAGAGTGCTAGCCTTGAACAAAAGAAGCTCAGGGGCAGTACCCAGGCCTGAGTTCAAGCCCCAGAACTGGCAAAAATAAATAAATAAGCTGGGTGCCTGTGACTCATGCCTATAACCCTAGTTACTCAGGAGGCTGAGATCTGAGGATCATGGTTTAAAGGCATCCTGGGAAGGAAAGTCCATGAGACTCTTATCTCCAATTAACCACCAGAAAGACAGAAGTGGTGCAGTGGCTCAAGTGGTAGAGCACTCGCCTTGAGGAGAAGAGCTCAGGGACAATACCCAGGCCCATAGTTCAATCCCCACAACTGACAAAATTACTATGATTACAATTATGATTAATAAAAATATGATTACAAAAAAAGTCCATGAGACTAATATTTCCAACCAACCAACAAAAAACCAAAAGTGGATCTGTGGCTCACTTTTGCGCAAAAAAGCTAACAATTAGTACTCTTGAGTTTAAGCCCCAATACTGTTACTAAAAAACCAAAAGAACCCAAAAAACAAAAGACCACATCTTTCTAAATATAATTGCTTTGTTTTAGAGAATGATTCATATGTATCTATTGCTTATATTGATATTTCTTACCATGTTGTAATCATTCATTACTTCTTCCATTTCGGTATTGGTATTAAGTTTATCTACCAACTAAAAACAAAAAAAAGAAAACAAATTCATTAACCTTAATGGTCTGCCTAAGTTACAATATAGGGATTCAAACTCCCAAATGATGAGTAGTAATTTAAGAATTAATATTTCCAAGTTTTTTATTTTCTAGGATATGAAAATATATAAGGCTAAGATCAACACAATATGAAAAATTAAAGCTACCTATGCATTTGGCCAGTAACACTACAGTTTTAGTTTGGAAAAGTGATAAGGAATGAATCCTTATCTTGCAGATCATATCTTAAAGAGCTTTGCCTGCTTTAGAAAAGATAGCTAAGCTTATAAGTAAATATATACAAAAGGTATGTTTTAGAAAGACCTGTCAGAGTATTACTTTCCTTAGAGAAATGTTAAATTTATATATTTACACTAAAGTGTGAAACAACTTTCTTTTCCTAAAAGTTAAAAAGAAAATCAGTACGGCAAGACACAAACAGCATACTAGCAACCCCACTTTAAAAAGTTAGGCAATTCCCTGGCACTAGAGGCTCATGTCTGTAATCCTAGCTACTCAGAAGGCTGAGATCTGAAGATTGTGATTTGAAGCCAGCCCTGGCAAGTGAGTCCCTAAGAATATAGTTAGAAGGGAACATCATTTTCTTAGGAAATCTCACTAAATAGTAGATTCCACACAGTATTTAATCAAGAATATTTGTGTTGCTCAGTGCATTTAAGAAGTATAATGCAGCAAAATGTCACTGATGGTGTAATGTCTGCCTCAGACCATGCAGGCCCTGTGCAGACACCTCCCTGTCTCTTGGCTCAGTTTCCGCTCAGTATCTGTATTACTAGGTAACTGGCAACCTGGAAGTATTCACTTCCCCCTCCTGCTAGGTCACATCCTGGGCCCCTCTGGTCACAGGCCTCCCATCTGACCATATGAGGGCCCTGTGGTCTCACATCTGGATCCTATGTGGCCACACCTTTCTCCCACCTGGCCACATCTCTTCCCATCCCTGGCCTAGATAAGTCCTGGCCCTGGGTTAGGGTGCCCCTTCAGCCATGCCCTTCTCCATCATGCACTGCGGGAAAGCAGTTCAATAAAATAAACTTCTCTTCCTGCCTGAATACCCTGTGGTGTTCTCTTTATCGGCTACCTAATTAAACCTACCTATTTAATTTATCTTTCAATAAGTATAATAAAAATTACTAAGGAGATATACCATAATTTACCTAATCATGAATAGTCAAATAGTTTGTCATTTTCATTACACTATTGCCTAAAATGCCTAACGTGCCTAGCAGGAGGAAAAAGATGCTGACACTGTTATAATTCTATTTTCTTTTCTGTTTGTTTGTTTGTTTTGTCTTTTTTGACAGTCCTGGGGCTTAAATTTTGGGCCTGAGTGCTATCCCTTTATGCTCAAGGCTATCACTCTACCACTTCAGCCACACAACATTTCTGGCTTTTTCTGTGATTAATTGGAGATAAGTGTCTCACAGACTCCTCCTGCCTGGGATGACTTGGAACCATGATCCTCAGATCTCAGCTTCCTGAGTAGCTAGAATAATAGGTATAAGCCACTGGCACCCAGTTCTAACTCTATTTTCATGAAGGCAACATAACCACAAAGACTGAAGCAGCTGTCAGGGGTGCCAAGACAATCATTTCTTCTCTTTCTCTCTCTCTTTCTTCCTTCTTTCCTTTCCTTCCTTCCTTCCTTTCTTTCTCTCTTTCTTTCTTCCTCTGTTTTTCAAGACAAGGCCTCACTCATTCACCTATGCTGTCCTCCAACTCATGAACCTCCTGGCTTACTAAACTCTAAGACCTATGAAAATAGATGTGCGCCCCCACATCTTAACTATTTCTTTTTAAAGTCCACAATGGGGAGCATGCTTTGTGGAACAATGTTTGTATTATATTCCCCATTTTGACAGAATATATGCAATGAATAAAACATAAGGATGAAAGTAATCGTTGTACTACATAAATTTTTTAAATTTCATGATGGCAACTCTCTACAGAAAGAACTATATTTCTAAAGCAATTAAATTGTTGGTACTCAATACATTTTTTGCTAATTATCTAATATTGCTGGAGAAAAAGGCAGGTGGGCCCCATATATTTTTTAAAAAATGGGTCAGGTGCCAATGACTCATGCCTGTAATCTTAGCTACTCAGGAGGCTGGGATCTTCAGCCAGCCTGAGCAGCAAAAGCCATAAGATTCTTATCCCTGATTAACCACCCAAAAGCAGAAGTGGAGCTAATGCTTCAGGCCTTGAGCAGAAAAATTTCAGGGACAGTGCCCAGGCCCTGAGTTCAAGCCCTAGTCCCTCCCTCTCCCACAACTCCCCCACTACCACAGGAAAAAAAAATGGAATAATATACATCAATCTACTAAGGCAAGGTATTTCTGGTGAGAGAAAGGAGTATGACAAGAACAGGGGCATCTTGCCAAGTGCCAGTGTCTCACACCTGTAATCCTTGCTGCTCAGGAGGCTGAGATTTGAAGACGGTAGTTTAAGGCCAGCCTGGGCAGGAAAGTCCATGAAACTCTTATCTCCAATTAACCACCAGAAAACTGGAAGTGCAAGTGCAAGTGAAGTGGTAAGAACAAAGAATCTCTGGGATATTGCTCAGGCCCAGATTTCAAGCCCCATGACCAGCAAGAAAAATAAAAGGGACATCTTATTATCTATATTTTTATAGTGTCAATCTTTCACAGTAATTATATATCCATGAATTATTTAGTATTTAAAGTATGTATTTTAAATGGCAAAAAAATACAAATATTCAAAGGAAATTCTCTAAGAAAATAACGGATTGGTAGAAAAGGAAGAAAGAGGTGAGACTGTATGTAACTGTAACCCCTCTGTATATGACCTCTACAATAACAATTTTAAAAGTATATTAAAAAGAGCAAATACCATGTTGTAGTCTGCTAGTTGTCCTTGAAACTCTTTGATTTCCACAGCTAACGTCTCTGCCCTGCAAGCATGGAATACATTTAGAAATAAAGAGATGAACATTATGAAGAACTATAAATTCAGTATTATATGTACAGAATATTGAGTACTGAGTTAATAATTATTTAATGATAAATTACAAAAAAGGATTATATATATTTTAACTGTAAAATTACTTACCTCTTTTCATATGACAAATATACTGAATTTTCTTGATTGTACATTTCTATTTCCTTCTGAAGTTTATTAATTTCAGTTGTAAGTTCACTTATTTTACTTCTAATTGAAGGGAAAAAAAGAAAGTCAGTAGTACTTCTAAGGCAGAAGACTCCTTTTCTAGCTAAACAAAACATACATTTCATAAATGTTAACAATGACACAAATGGATTTGTGAAATTCATTTTTAAAAGAGAAAAGTTTCAATGATTTATTTGACTAAGAATGAGGAATATCCCACCCTATTCTACTCTACTGATGAGAAAGTGACATAGATTCTCTAATCACTGAAGTGAAGTAGGACTAAGAAACAACAAAAAAAGACAAAATTTAATGGAAATAAGAGAGAGAGACAATACAGATAATGAGGCAAGTTAGGAAAACATCTATCTGAGCAGGCAAAAGAGAGATGAGTAACATAAACTTTTTTTTTTTTTTGGTGCCAGTCACGGGGCTTGAACTCAGGGCTTGAACACTGTCCCTGAGCTTTTCTTCTCAAGACTTACACTCTATCACTTGAGCTACAGCTCCACTTGTCCACTTTGGTGGTTACCTGGAGATAAGAGTCTCATGGGTTTTCCTGCCTGGGCAGCTTTGAACCACAATCCTCCCTCACATCTCAGCCACTTGAGTAGTTAGAATTACAGATGTGAGACATCAGCATCCATCAATAAAAACGTCTTAATTTACAGTGGTACACTTATAGACATACAATAAAGCTTATGAATTAGTTAAAACTGGGCTGTTTACAGCAAATGATGAAATACATATTTATGCAGAACTCTGTACTGATTAAGATGTCATAAATAAATACACAGATATCTTCCTTTTCTTACTAGGGATAGCAGATGTTTCAATGATAAAAAATAGTACTGACAAAAATGCATAAAGGATTATTTAAGTAAACCTTAAATGTGTTATGGTCTGACAGTTTATGTCACCTTCAAAATTAATTTTGAAACTGAATTCCCCAATTCAAGAATGTTAACAGGTGGAACCTGTAAGAGTAATAATTAGGCCATAAAGATTCTGCCCTTGTGGACAGGATTAGTGCTAGAGGAAGCTTGGTAGAACTCTTCTGTCCTGTAAGGACACCATCCATAAGAAACAAATTCTCACCTTCTAGTACCTCAACAGAGGGTTTCTCAACCTCCAAAACTATGAGAAATAAGTTTTTATGATGTTAACCAGTCTCAGGTATTTTGTTGTAGCACAGATGAATACAAAATACGGTTCTCATACATATAAAAACCTTAGCTACTCAGGAAGCTGTACCTGGAAGATCTCAGTTCAAAGCCAGATAGTGCAGAAAAAAGTCTGCAAAACTCTGTCTCCAATTACCCTGCAAAATGCTGGGCCTGAGGTGTGGCTCAAATGGGAAAGTGCCAACCACGATTAAGAAAGAATGAGAGTGGGCCTTGCGTCCAAGTCCTGGTAATGGCACAAAAAATTTTTTTTCAATCTAATTATATTATTACAGTACATCTATACTGCATTATCACCAAGTTAAACAGAAATTGTTAGGATATAAAGGAGTTCTTAAAATACCTAACTACTACAGTAAGTACCATATTCATGATTCTGCATAGAGAGATGTTTACTTAACGTACCTAAGAAGTCCAAGATAATAAGATTTGTCTAAAATTTGTCTCTGGGGACCTAAAAGAAAATTTGTGAATGTTAGTGTTTCATTTCAAAATGCAACTAAACTAGCAAATCTAAAGCACAGTCAAAGATTATATGCCAACATTCTCAAAATTTGCAGGAAGATCCCAATACATCTAGGACAATTTCTGAAATGGAAATCTTAATTTTCTTAGGATTGTTGCATAAAGAATGCTGAATTAGCCAGGCATTGTGGCTCATGCCTGTCATCCTAGCAACTCAAGAGGCTGAGATCTGAGATCTGTAACTCTTTTGTACATCACTGTTAAAACAACAAAACACATTTAAAATAAAAAAACTGGAGGCTGGGAATGTGGCTCATGGTAGAGCACTTACTTGCATGCATGAGAGGCCCTGGGTTCGATTCCTCAGCACCACATAAGCAGGAAAAAAAAGCCGGAAGTGGTGCTATAGCTCAAGTGGTAGAGTGCTAGCCTTGAGCTGAAGAGTTGAGGGACAGCGCCCAGGCCCAGAGTTCAGGCCCCACGACCGGACCCCACCCAAAAAAAAAGAACTGGAAATGGAGCTGTGGTTCCAGATCTGGAATCTGAGATCTGCCAGCCAGGGCAGGATAGACCATGAGACTCCAAGTAATTACCAAAGAAGCTGCAAGTGGAGCTGTGGTACAAGTGGTAAGAGTGCTAGCCTTGACCACAAAAGCTCAGGGACAGCACCCAGGCTCTAACTTTGAACCTCAGGACTGGTGCGTGCACCAGAAAAAATAGCATTTTGATTCACTTCTCATAAATACAGACACTTTAACATCTTTAACAGACAACTTTTTCATCTTTAAATGGAAATAAAAAATTCAGAATATTTTTATACAATTCCAGAAATCTAATGTTCAATCCTGGGCTTTTCTTCAAATTATTTCAGATTTCTTCATATAATAACAAAGCTCCTTGATGAGAAAAATGAATAACAAAATAGCTAATATGTAGATATAACTTTTTAGTTACAATGTATTTTCACATGCATTCTGTTACAACTTTAGCAAAGAATAAGAACAAGATGCTGTATTTCTCATTTAGTAGTGTGGTACTATAGTAATTTTGTACAAAATGCATTCATCTTCATAAAATAAGATACCTTTCATCCCAGTTTTCATTCCACTCAAACCTTGTTGAGTTACAGGCCGATCAGCAACTTTGATTTGAGATGACAAAACTCCACCAGTCCCTAGAGTGCCACCACGAGAACCAGGTCTTGCTGTTCCAGGTGGCAACTAAATGATAAGCAAGATTATACATTCATTAAACTGGAAAAAACCACAAATATTGTGCCTCTACTACTAACAGGCTGGAAAGATAACTTCTTTAAAAATTAAAATTCTACACAATTTGTAAGATATTCCTTACATTTTTATTTTTATTCATTTTTTATT